GTTTTAAAGTCTTGCAACCTTAAATGTATCCACTCATACCGAGTTTTCGGTAGTACCGTAAGTTTTAGGTGATCATATCGATCCTTCAAATTAATCCATAATTCAAGTGGATCCTTTACGGTTAAATATTCAGTTTNTTTCTAAATGAGTAATATTTGTTAGGCCTTAAAAATCATCATCTTATATGCAAGATGTGCCTTAGAATCATATTTATTTGAGGGACCTGCTTCATCATCATTATTCTAAAAGGTCAAGTGTGCCTCCACATTATTATTTTTTTCTTGAGGGAGGCTTGATAAAGTTTGACAAAATATTCTGGCGTATGACAAATGCGTGCCCAATGACCTCTCATACCACATCGGTGACACATACTAACTTTACCTTTTGAATGATTAATTTGAGAACTCTTATTGTTCTCCAATTTATTTCCACCATAATGACGATAATTGTTTCGCCTCCTGTCACATCCACGTTTACGACCATGTCCACGACCACGGTAATTATTTTGTTTTCTTTCAAACTTATCATATGTTGCTACAGCATTCACTTCCGGAAATGGAGCTGACCCAGTGGGACGGGCTTCATGATTTTTCATTAATAGAGTATTATTCTGCTCAGCCACAAGTAGGCATGTGATTAACTCAGAATATTTCTTAAAACCTTTTTCACGGTATTGTTGTTGTAGCACCACATTTGAAGCGTGAAAAGTAGAAAATGTTTTTTCCAATAAGTCATCATCTGTGATAGTGTCTCCACATAATTTTAATAGAGAACTTACTTTAAAGATAGCAGAATTATACTCACTTACGGTTTTAAAGTCTTGCAACCTTAAATGTATCCACTCATACCGAGCTTTCGGTAATACCGTAAGTTTTAGGTGGTCATATCGATCCTTCAAATTAATCCATAATTCAAGTGGATCTTTTACGGTTAAATATTCAGTTTTTAACCCTTCATGTAGATGATGACGAAGGAAAATCATGGCCTTCGCTTTATCCTGATTTGATGCTTCATTTCCTTGTATAATAGTATTTCCAAGACCTTTAGCGTCAAGGTGAATTTCAGCATCAAGAACCCATGATAAATAGTTCCTCCCGGTGATGTCAAGTGCCACAAATTCAAGTTTTGATAAATTTGACATAGTGAAAACTATCATAAAAGATGAATAAGTTAGAGAAATAATTATAATAATAAATAATTAATGAAAAACAAAACGATTAAGGTGAAAGAAATGAAAATAGAGCTATATCATGTTAACAATCTACTATTTCATTTTATTCTTGCCATAAAGTAGAAATTACATACTTGTTTCATTTCATTTTATATTATTGATATATATATGTGTTAATAGAATTGAACGTGACTAACATTATTTATATGTTCCAATAAATATAAAGTAATTAAACTATAAAATTATTGCTTGTCAATTCATTTCTCACAGTTCTTCAAAATGCCTTAAAGATGTGTTTTGATCCAGGGAGTCCATGACATTAGTGCATAACTAGTTTGATGACTTTGAGGTCCTCTAAGAGTTGAGCACGGAAGGAAATACTTATTTAATCACTGCAATGTACTTAAACTATTGAAGATGCCCAAGCGCACAAGTAATTTGCAAACAGTGAGCATATGATATGTACTGCCATAAATAAGATGATTATAATGATACATACCTTAATAAAATATGGCTCAACTTAGCGGGAGTTAAGAATAAAATTAGAGTTTCGTGCTGATAACGTGTTATAAAATAAAAGCAATGCAGTAAAATGTAAATAAGAAGAGATAGAAAGAAGGGATAAGTGTTTTCTTCTTTCACTTTAGTGTATTTTTCTATTGCAATTACATGGCCTTTTATAGGCATAAAAAGTAAAGATGATACACATAAAGTAGGAAATTTAATCTTTAAGTTATTCACAATATGGACATCCAATATAACATCTAATGTAGTATCTAAAGTAGTATTCAATGTACAAACTATTCATAACAATTCGAGAATAATCTTCTAGGCGAGCAACTTGGTTAAATTACTTTCCTTAGTGCCTTTTTACTGTAGTAGATAGGTTTTACAATTTGGGAAAATTGCTTTTCGAGTTGCAACCTGTAATGATAGATTGTTAGTGATAGTGTGATAAGGTGCAACAACTAAGCGTACTTATATGTATGACCAAACTCAATAATATTTGGCAATTTAAGAAGCAGGTATCTAGGATATTTGCTGCACTTTCAGGCAGGGGTGTTCGTCGGTCGGTACGGAATGATATTTAGACATTTCTATTCGGTATTTTCGATATTCGGTTTCTTAAAATCCTATATCAATACCGTATCTAATTAAATTCGGTATGGTTCGGTTTTTCTCCTTTCGATTTCGGTTTATTCGGTTCGGTAACTTCGATTTATTCGGTTTGAATACTAACTAGTGCATAGAGCCATACATTCTAATTTTCTTAATTAAAGTACTCAAAAATACAAAACTGAAAATGTTTGTTGACAAAAAATTTGTCCAAAACTAGCAATTATCGACCCAAATAAAGAAAATTGTATATAAAAGAATATTTGATCATTACAAATGTCTTGTTACTTGTTTAGAGTTAATTGATGAACTTTGAGAATAACGGAAAGTAAAATTTTGGATTTTTTATATTTATGTTATAACTGATAATATGTGTTTTGTGTAATGTAATATATATTTCGGTATGGTATCGTTATTTCGGTATTTTATTTTAAAATACCAAATACCATACCTAATACCAATTTCTTAAAAAACTTAAACCAAATACCAAAATACCGTATACCAAAATTTTCGATTTCGATATGATAGTTCGGTATTTACCAAATTATGCCCAGCCCTACTTTCAAGTTTTACAATTGCTAGTCATTATTATTATTTTTAGGCGGTAACTTGTATAGGATCATTTTGTGGGCCCTACTTTCAGGTTTTACAATTGCTAGCCATTATTATTATTTTTAGGTTGTAACTTGTATAGGATCATTTTGTGACTACCGGGTGACATAACTTTCATCCACGTGGCTAAAAATGAATTTGCTCATTTAAGAAGCAGGTATCTAGGAAATTTGGCGCACTTTCAGGTTTTTCAGTTGCTAGCCGTTATTATTATTTTCATTTTGTGGCTACCAGGAGATATAACTTTGGCCCGAGTGACTATAAATAAATTTTGCTCATATTTTTTTTATTCTTTGGTGTTTTTAAATTTAAATCATACATAATTTTAATACGAAATTAAATCAAAAAAAGGGGACACATAATATATGATAAATATTGGTCATTTTCAAGAGTTAATATTTTTGTTTAATCTTTATTTTTAAGATCTTATTCTTTTAAAAAGATATACACATTGTTATAGGGTTTTGTTATAGGGTGCAGGCGTATCCTAAATCTAGTATCATAAAAAAGGTAAAGTAATCGTTATGAAGCAAAACCTCAAAAGTCTCTACAATTATCCCTAATTTCTTTAATTAATTTTCTCAGTCGCACATAATTATTGGGACCAACGAGTACATCTAAGAGCATCCATACAACAATAGCACGCAGATGCTTAAGAAATGACCAAATGGTTATTGAGGATAGTTATCACCAAATTAAAATGCACATGCTACTGGGCATGTCTTCACAGTTTACCTAAAAGAAGAGAATACTGAGAAATTAAAATCCACAAGAAATAGTAGGTGCTGCTAATCAGATCCCCAAGGAATTCAAATTGTAACATCTATAACAATACCAAGCATATCAAGTTTCAACAAGCAAAAAACTCTTAAGAAATTAAAATCGACATGCAATAGCTGTGGTGCTACTCAGATCCACTTTCATTTCCACGAGACTATAGTGCTAAACGAAAACAGAAATGAGAAAACAGCATAACCCAAAACTGCCTTGTAAATTCTGTTCCAATGTCAACCTCTCAACGATTGGCCTTGGCAACTCTTTCAATCTCATCCTTCTTCTTAATGGCATAGCTGCAGAAACAAAAATCATTCACAGGAGTAAGTAATAAAGGCGTACATATCCAAAGAAACTGAGTTGGAAAGAAAGGTGAACCAATCAAGTATACACTCAAAATCTCAAGCCTTTTACCTATTTGAAGAACCCTTGGCAGCATTGATGAGTTCATCTGCAAGGCACTCAGCTATGGTCTTGATGTTCCTGAAAGCACTCTCACGTGCACCAGTTGTCAACAAATAAATGGCCTGGTTAACTCGGCGAAGTGGAGAAATATCAACAGCCTGACGCCTCACAACACCAGCTGAACCAATACGAGTTGCATCTTCCCTTGGCCCACTAATATGATCAAATGGAGAAGACAAAGCTATCAGTGAGACAGATGTATCAGTAGGGTATTTGAACAATATTTGGTTGAAGTTGGAAAAAAAAAGTATTTAAAGTTGAAGTTTAAAAAGAGTATTCGAAAGTTGAAGTTGTATTTAAGACACGAACTACACCTAGAAAAGATGTTTAAGAAAGTTGAAGATTTGTGAGTAAATTCATTATTTTATTTGAGATACTCCTCAAACTAGTATTTAAAATCATCCAGCAGCATTTGGGATACTCAAATTTCAGTATTTGTAAATATAGAACGGCCAAACCAATATCTGAAAATACTGAAGCATTTGACAATGGGCCCACTGTTAACCCCATTTAAAATAAAACAAAAATAAAAGATTGAAGAATATGTGAATGAATTAAGCGCCAATCATCAGTGTGCACCTGTTAATGACGGCATCAACAATGACTTGAATTGGGTTCTGGTCAGTCAACAAATGAANTATTTGAAGTTGAAGTTGAAAAAGAGTATTCGAAAGTTGAAGTTGTATTTAAGACATGAACTACACCTAGAAAAGATGTTTAAGAAAGTTGAAGATTTGTGAGTAAATTCATTATTTTATTTGAGATACTCCTCAAACTAGTGTTTAAAATCATCCAGCAGCATTTGGGATACTCAAATGTCAGTATTTGTAAATATAGAACGGCCAAACCAATATCTGAAAATACTTAAGCATTTGACAATGGGCCCACTGTTAACCCCATTAAAAATAAAACAAAAATAAAAGATTGAAGAATATGTGAATGAATTAAGCGCCAATCATCAGTGTGCACCTGTTAATGACGGCATCAACAATGACTTGAATTGGGTTCTGATCAGTCAACAAATGAATGATCTCCATGGCATGTTTGATGATGCGGACAGCCATTAGCTTCTTTCCGTTGTTCCGTCCATGCATCATAAGAGAGTTGGTGAGCCTCTCAACAATTGGGCACTGGGCCTTCCTGAAACGCTTAGCCTGGTATCTACCAGCTGTGTGTGGCATATAAACTGGATGCTTGGAAGCAGTTGCTGTGATGTAATCCTCAACAGAGATGTCATTGATCTTCACCAAAAAGTGAGATCATAGTTAAGGAAAAATCTTTCAAATTGCATTTAAGATAAGTTTCAGCCTCACTAATAGAGGAACTTAAGAATAATACTCAATTAAAAAAGGCAGAAACAGAAGTAACAATCACCTTAGTATTTAGTTAGCCCACTTAATTTTCTCACCATCTCTAGCTCTCTCCAGAGTCTGCATTAAACCCAATGTTCTCCACTCCAGAATGTTATTGAGAAAGAATTACACTTTTACTGAGTAGCAACAGCTTTTCCTTCTATTTCAGGGAATAACCAGCTAAAAAATATAGCCCATAATATTTGCCCTCCTAATACCTCTCCCCACCGAATTAGCTTATTTGGCTATCTGGCCCCAGTCTATAGGAGTGCAACATTCTAAAAGGAACATGTAAACTTAAAATCACATAGAAGTAGTCTCAAAAGTCCTATAATCTCTTGGATTCAATGCAAACTAGTGAAAATATGGCAGTGGAAGATAAAATCTATTAGAAGATACCAATTTGCTAAAGTCAAGTCTTAGTCATGTTAGTAAGTTCACTATAAGTCCAATGATCCTTAGGAATCTCTTAGTCCTGCTAGATATAAAATGTGGAGCAACTTAGATAGCGAGAGTTCATATAGCCAGCCCAACTTGCTTGGGATTCAAGTCTAGTTGTTTGTTGCTGCATCTGGGAGATTACTATCCTACTGCAAGTCTTTTTTTATCCTGGCCCTATAAGTTGAAAAATCAGTTTTCTGTTTTCCGTTTATGGAAAGTCAATGTAACAAATTATCAAGCTAGATTAGTTTATTCTTCAAATTTCAAAGTTTTGGTACTCAAGCTCTATAAGCAGCAATTTTCCGTGTATGATAAGAAGACAAAAAGTACATTCAGCTTGGATCTAGGTGACTTTTCAAATTTCAAAATTTAGATATTCAGGTGCTACAAGCTGTAATTTTCCCTGTGCAAATACAATGAAATAAAACGTGCAAAGGAAAGAGTTATTAGCAGATATAGACATGTCGCTGTGAGGAAAATGAGCTTTATTTAGGTACCTGGACATCGTCGTAGGTCCAGCGATTGAAAAGCATAACATCGCTGTGAATCTTATTCTCTGCGGTTGCGTCTACTGGGGCGGCTACTACACCTGCGTCCATTTTTTCTTCACCTGCTGCACAAATTTAACAGTTAGAACAATGCATTTCGCAGTATTTTTGTGTTTGTATATACAGATAGAAGGAGGGAGCCGCTCACCTTACGCCTTACGGGAGGAGTCTTTCCTGCTGCTGTTGTATCAGAGAGTGGAATGTGTTAAAGCCCTAGAAACTTTATAGTAGGGTTTCGGGGAAGGGGGCAAGGCTATAATGTGATAGTTCGGCCCAATATATATTGGGCTTTCTACTCTGCTATGTCTTGGATCCGACTTTGTCGTCCAGCCCAAATCCAATTACTGCAAGTCGATTTTTTATGGAATTTTACCTAGCTATACTATTCTATATTAGAAATCTATTTAGCACTTTTTTTTATATTCCTTAAAATTACATTGTATATTTATATTTACTATTTGTATACAAAATCATGATAAAAGAAAGATTTCTTAAATTTAAAGATTAAACTGTAACCCCCACCCA